AAAACAACTAATGTCATCCGCCAACGTACCAGGTGGAAATTGTTAACGTGCCACTTAAGAATTAAAGCTGTAATAAGAGAATCAAGGTAATTTCCACTACTTCAGAGATCCAAGACGGTCTCGGTGTGTCGTTACATCTTGTTTGTTCTACACGCTCGTAAAATTGCGCTCTCAAAACATATTCCGGAGAGCACTCAAATTATCGCTGTTTTCACGATCATGAAATACCTAATACATACATTTTGTTCGGTTGGACGTAGCTTCCAGAAAAAATGTTCCATAATATTTGATAAGTTTGCTATTGGCGCGAGTCCCTGCATAACTGAAATCAGAAACACAATAATGCTCGCTAATGGATACTTTAGCCGTCCAGTGGCGTGGGCTGAAGGTTGTCTCGTCTTTGTGGAAATTCCACGTGTTGATCCTATTTAGTTGAACAATGGATTTTTTTTATGAGTATTCTTAAGTTTAGATTTGGACGTATACATTAATTCAGAGTGCTAAAGTTTTTTTCCTTAAGGCCATCAACAGTGCTTTTAGAGAAAGAAAATTTACGCCGAAACGAATATCTGTACTTGACCTATATTTAGATACGATTTATATTTTTACTGCCTTAAAAATAAACGTGATGGTACGTTGACACAATTCAGTCTCCAACATTAGGATTACAGAAATTTAATAAAGGTACAAACTACAGTTATGTAATGTGTAATTACAGGGCTTTCGCTGAAAGTATACAACGACCATTCGGGGTCCGCTACAACCCTTACACCCAGAGTGTTGAGGTGTTGAGCAACGCTCAGAAGATCACTGCTCTAGTGAGGGAGTTACGAGGAGACATCTGCATAGTGTCGTCTGCTATCAAGAAGATTTCAGCCCAAGACTCCACTCTCGACGTGGAAACCATCGCCAATATGCTACACACTGGCTTACAGGTGAGAAAACGCTTGTACAATGGGGCTATTCCCTCCTCTTGTTCCCACCGCTGCAACTCCTGTGTAGCCAGGATCTACAGCTTCACCGCCAATAAAAACCCAACCAATGAAGGTCAAGTTTGTCCCGGGTGAAAGTTAAACGCTTGTTCAAGACAAATTAATTAGGTGACCAATGTGACCATAGAGATCACTCATTGTTTCAGCAATGTGTATAATTACATTTTATGCATAATAAATACAATCATTCTTCCATGATTATTCATAATGATTACTTATTTACGTAGTGATTTTTAGTTCTGAATTGTCCAGGAAATTTAATTAGGCATTTATATTTCGTACTGTCTCGATATTAAGGACATTAATATTACGAGACTGTTGTTATAAAAGCTTCATTTAGAAATGAACGGTAATTTGACTTCGTTTTCCATCCACGTAATAATTAAATGTGCCTAAATTTTGATTGTATTTAAAGCAGCTTAAACTAAGTGAACTGATTAAGATCTTTGTGTTTTGTGTATAGTTATGGTAACCCAAAGAAGATTGTCTGTTTGAACTCAAAAACACACGCAAGTTATACCTGGCACGCTTGTATTTACTGTTAAATTAAAACATAAGATATCGTACCAAAGGGATCAGAGGTAAACATTTTAGCCTTTGATCATTACTTCAAAGAAATATGTAATTAATTACGCCTACAGACGCCACCCGCTGTTTACAATTCAGTAAACATTTTGACCTAAATGTACCTTTGTGCCGTTACTATAAATAATAAGAATTCATGTCGTTAATAGAAAAAATATTTTAGCCGTAAAAGGATAGCTTGTAACGTTTTATTTTCACTGAAAAGGAACTTTGGCCTATTCCATGAAAAAAGCATTAGGTACTGTAAAGGCATTGATCCTTCCCGCTTGCTCGTTGCGCCGCAATGCAGAGTTTCTTTCAATTTCCGACTTTTCATTCGAAAATGATTGATTCGTAATCCCAAATTCATCTGAGATTGATTCGACGCACAGGCAATCTTTATCGTACGAACCATTCCTGTATAATAAAATATGGATACTTTTATTGCCAAAGCTCTTTCAAATAGCAACAAATGATACTATGATGATAGTTTGCGATTACCTAAGATATTTAGTATCGTATATCAGGAAGTAAAATGTAATTATGGATTTTTGTATTTTCATCATATTGGTTTTCATGCAGGTTAACGAAAGAAGCCCACAAAGTACATCTGGATGCAGCACTCCTAACTCTGAACGTGGACATTCACCTAAGCCTGATGCCTGCAAGTAATTCGACTCCCGACGACTTATGGCCACGATGAAAGGTTTTACGATCTGCAAGACAATATTATAACAATAAAATATGTATTATGATGACAATAAGTTATACCCACTTATAACTATAATCATTTAAATATTCCTACATTATAATATGTCAAACATAATCACAATAATAATTTCATCTTTGAATTAAAATATGCATTTATAATAATGCTTAATTAAACTGACACTATTACATAAAAATGTTTATCGAAGTAACGTAAGTAGTTGTAGACTAATCAAATATTTATTATGTCCCTCTAGGACCACTTGTCTCTAGCTGATATAATATTTATTACCTACTTAAGTAAACAGTGGTAATTAAAAACTAAATTAGAATAAAATTATAATGATGTATTCGTTACAAATAATTAATTACCTTCTACTTTTATTAGTGCACCTGAACTACATTATAAAAATGATAAATATAAAGCCCCATATTTAGACCGTAACTTACTTAAGTTTCTCTCGATTTAAAAATCATACATAAACAAAATTAGGTAACTTAACTTGTATAAAAATTTAAGTAAGACTAAGTAATCATTTTATGAATACCAATTAATCTTATGTAGCTGTTAGGTTATACCAAATTAAATCATGATGGCAAAATGGTTGTTTTATTTGCAGCCCCACCCAAATTTATTTTAGAATAATATATTTTCAAAAATAAAATACAAGTGAATGTGGGTTAATTGTAACTGACATCAAAGCGTTTGACTGATCCAGTAAGCGGCTCAAAATATATCGATGACTAAGTAGTGTTCAGTCAAACAAGAACAGGTCCACTAAACATAAACCGACATGTTATAAACCATACCTCTGGTTTTACCCGTAAACATTCATTTACTGGCAGCTCTAAAATAGAAATGATTTAACGATCGTAATCTAACCTTAGACGATGTGGAGTTAACGGCATTTCTAGCCACACGTTTGGAGAATATCCAAAAGAACGAAATTAAGTAATTAATGACACGAAAAAACAGGAATATACGACTGTATCGTCACCGCGCCATTAAAATCATTACGGGAGAGGCAAAATGTTTCTCTGACGTAGGACTTCCGAAGCGGTTTAGGCACGTTGCCAAAAATATTATACCATTAATTTTTAAAATGAAATGTTGCAACGATGCAAAATTGGGTCGTGTATGGTATCCGTATGTGCGTTCGAAGATGAGTAAGGATGGTTTAAAAAAATCATAAGCTTTTGTTGAAAGTGGCGCAGACCGACTCTCGTAAATCAGAGCGATGTTTGAAATACGGAAGATAATGTGCCATCCCGTGTATATTAAACTAAAGTCCTTGGCAATGTTTCTTGAATTTAATTATATCTACTTACGTATCTGTCAAAATCGTATGAAAGTTGGCAAGTGAACGTAAAGAGTAGTGACGAAATTAGCTTTTAACATTGAAAATTGTAATCACATGACTCTTAATTCAGGTCTCGTAAAGGAAGAATTTTGAAAATTGTGTACTATTGTTAAATGTCAATCTGCTATTAATAGTACCTTTTCTTATTATGGTACACTATCAATTTAAAATATTTAACATATTTTCAGATAATAATTTATTAAATTATTAATAATAAATACAATAACAAAAAAATCTATGCAAAAATTTTCAGGAACTCTCTCAGAGTCAGAGTAGAGTCAAAGTAAATGTAAGATAGATCAAGTTGTTTATTTAAACATTTTTAAAAGTAAGAGAGATGCTTAAAAATTTTAAATGGTGGTGACACGAATTGAGTTATTGTAGATTATGAACAATTGACCACGGATTTCATAAAATCAAACCGTAGTAAATAGTTCAACTGGGCTGTAGTTTACCACAAGTTCGTGCTATTATATTACTAACTAGCTGACCCGGCAAACTCTGTTCCGCCTTAAAGGCAATAAATAAGCCATCGCAATTTTTCCTTATTTGCTCACCGTTTAGACCTACCCTGGACTACGACAAAAATTTTAAAACCAAAATCAGCTCAGTCGGCCCAGCCGTTCTCGAGTTTTAATCAGACTAACGAATAAAAATGAATTGCCATTTTTATTTATATAGATAACTATTCATGCCACAAATTGTCCCGATTCTAATTTTATCGAAACTTAAAATTCTGTAATCACTATTACGATACCACCTCTTTTATAGGTAATGTATTTAACTAACCAATATAAATGCCGTAATTATTATTATCGGTAGAATTTTTAAATGATTTTAAAATTAAAAAAAATATATAACGTTTAAAGTCACTATCGATTCAAAATGATGATATAATATTCTGTGCCTAACAAATATTGGCAAAAATAGGACCTTATTATTTTCTTGTAAGTAGATAGGTACTGGCTATTATTAGGAGACGAGTATGAAAAAGATTGACCATGTCAAAAGACAAACAAAGGCGTTATCTACTCATACAAGAAAAACACGAATTATCAATATTATACTCGATATACAATTTCATTTATGTTTATTTATAGGCTGAAATTCGGAGTTAAAATTATTCCTATTTAAGAGTAAAACGAAGAGGATAATTATTTTAAAGGATACGGACAAAAATAGGTCAGTAGAGCATTGCGGAACTGAGAGCGGTTAGCAATGTCAAGCGAGTAGCCCAAAAAGTTCTCATCAACTTGCAGTAGAGTTTGGCGCGTTGGCTTGTTTAGTGTTTAGTTCAAAGTTGGCAATGGGATGTGTTTAACGTGTTAGCTATGATTAAGGGTAATGACATTGGGGACTAGAGTACGACAAATTAATGTCGGCCAGCCTCCACCGGGATGGCCAGAGCGACCGCAGTCGCGTCGAGCGCCCGACGCGTCCCGACGCCGCCACCGACTCCACCGCTTGCCGCCCGCCCACGCTAATCGATATCACTGTTCCGCACATGCACGCTTTTATAGCAACACGTAAACATTTTTTTTGCCGTTAAAATTTTAATCACGCGGATCTATAATCAACTATGTAATCCATCCCTTCCCCATCAAAGAATCCAGCGCTCGCATGACAGTCCGCGTCGCGATGTAAACAATATGAAAATAAACGGTCGCGTAACAGCTGACTTATCCAAACAGCTGATCGTTTCACGCGTGCACCAATGATCGTTTTTAAAGGTATTTTATCTAAATTGTAATATATTTTTGCACAGCGAATGCGATTTGCGACTGTCTAGAAAGAGTTTGGATGGAATTAAGTTTATGTGGATGTTTTTAGTACGTCAAAGCGTTAATAGCGGGCGCGCATGGAGTGTGTGTCGCCAATAGATCGTGTGAAGTATGTTCGCGATTTGAGAATATAAACGTGCGGTTTGCGAAGGCCGCGGTTTGCGTCGACGCAGCGTCGGTCCCGGCTGGGGAAGTTGGCAGAGGCGCGCGCGCGTCTCTCCGCGATGCTCCCGTGATCGCGCGGTCGCTGCCAGTACAACCTTGCGCGCCCTGAGGACATGTCGATGTTATGGATTACCAATGCGTCGTCGTGTACACCGTCATCAACATCGCGCCGCCCAAACTCACGGCGCAGGCAACGGAATTCTCCAACGGTTGTGTCACTTGGTTCAAAAATAAAATCAAGAGGTTAGTCAATTTCAACACCATTTCAACTCTGCCAAAATTCAGTGATTTTCAATTATTTCGGAGAATCAGCTTCATTTGTCTTTTTAAGATTTTTGTTTCAATTTTTTTTTTTGCTAAAGTTTGTGGTCGTTTTACGATTGATGATTTGGAATTTTCTTATTACGCTCATTAAATTGAACTACTATACAATATTTTTTACATATCTTTCGTCTACCTTATTTTGCTTTTAAATATTTATAACCACTTCCTGCCTATTTCCATCGAGTTCTAATAATTTATTTCTACTTGTTGACCGAGTCTTCCTGAACTAATAAATTAGGACAAGCCTTCAGAGATCGTGCCGGCATACAATTAGTGCCCACGTAGTAATACTTACCGACCGGAGTGCATTGATTAGCACACACCCTCATCGCTACTCTATAATAATAATAATTGGCTTGGGTGACCCTGATGTAGTATGATGTTTTTAATTTAATTAGCTTTTATTACTATGTTTTTCTTTTTTCGCCATTTTAAAAATGTAATGGGATCTATTTAACATTTTAGCTGACACAGTAAACATCAAGTCAGTTAAAATGTCTCAAATCATCCTATGGCAATCTTGTACAGATTTCCGTAGGATGCTTGCTTGTAAAATCCGAAAAAACTTTACACAATTTTAATGTCATGTGTGTTAATTTAAGTATGATAACAAAATTAATGTAAATCTGTTTGAACGTAACTAAAAACAGTTAACTACTTACTATACATAAATACAAACGTATTCATATTACATGCCGGGTGCTAGTTTTATGTCGAGGAAGGCTGTAATGGAAATTACTAGCATTCCAACCGCTAATTTCAATAAATAAAACAGCTGTCAGGACGGCACACCCTACTAATACAAATGGAAAGCACGCCACTCACTCATATCCACTTAGATTATCATATTGTGCGAATGTTATAATTACAATTCATTTTAGTATTAGTTGCTCAGCGAATTTTCCAGAGAATGCTTGTAATCTGTAGCGGCAATTTGAAACTTTTTATAAAATCGTAATTAAAAAAGTTTGGATGTTTGTGCCGTAAAACTTCTGGGACGCAAGAGCGCGACAGACAGTTATGTGAAAAGACCCTAGTACGATATGACATTATAGGTAGTCTAGTTCGATATGGGTACATGCTGATGCGTAGCTCATACGTCATCATTATCAAACCCACGTCAATCCGCTATTAGGTATAGGGTGTATGGGACAGTTTGGCAACTGCTTAAGCAATAAATTGAGGCAGACATCTTGATTCACTTCTTCTTCATTCTCAGACTTTTAACACAAAATAAAAAACTATACTTATCTTATTATATCCACAGAATCTTTTTTTTACTCCATTTATTATACTTATGCAAACAGTATATTATAAAGCTTTCCAATTTATGGAGCTGTACCTAATCGGTGACATTTTACAACAAAAAAATATCAACGCTGTCGATTTTTTTACAATATTACCGCAGGTTTCATAGTCTGATTTCATTATAGCAGTTGAACACTGGCTGAAAAGTACTCTTTACCGATCGATATCATTAATCAAGTGTTGCTTAGTCTCGTTTTTCATAAAAATAAATTGTACTTTGACTCACCTTTCTTAATCAAACTGATAATGGTAACAATAATGAAGTTTATTAAACAACTGTAAACAGAGATACAACTGTAATTAATTCAGGTCACAACATTCAAGCTCAATGACTACCGAATTGCTTATTTTGGACTACTTTAAAAAGGATTCCATGGCCATAAGCATTAAAAGTGTATGAAAGCAAGATACATACGGAGGCAAATGGGTTGAGAAAGCACTCTTAATCCGCCCCGCTTATTATTATGTAGAACTCTTGAGCAGTTCCGGATACTACGATAACGATATTGCGTATATTTTATGTATAGATACATGGCGACAGATGTACTTTGCTCGTATTTCAATTACATAATTTGTTCCAATCAGCCATTATAAATTCCTCAATCGTTAGGATATTCGAGAATAGGTATTCTTTAGGCCTTGAGAATCTATAATAATCTTGGAAAATAAACGTGGTCTATTCTGTCGCTGTATCGAAATAGATTCTATTTTTTTAATTTGACGATAAAAATAATAACCCATGGTACGAGTAGAGTCTGAAAGTATATTATTTTTTATTATAATAAATTAGAAACGTGAAAAAAGGTCGAATTCACTTCATATTAGAGCATCATAACTCTGCCTGTACATTGAGTGAGCATGCCTTGTGGCGCATCCACATATGCTGGGCGGCACGGCCGGCACACTGGCAAGGCATTTGAAAGCCGGCGGCAAACCCGGCAGCATAAGCCGGCGGCATGTGTGGACACGCCATTGGAAAGCATTCAATTTACACTTATCTATTAGTAAAAGGCCTAAAACAATTATTTGTAAAAACAATCTTACCATTTGTAAAAAGATGAAACCAAATATAGTGAAAAGTCGGCTAACTCAGTTCTCATAGAGGATCAGCCGGATCTCCGCATTATTATAAGTTTTTAAATATCATCATCAGTTCCCGTAACTTTGTAAAAACTCTCTAAAGTAAGTGTCTTTAGTTTTAGATTTTTTTGTGCTCACTCAATCCGCACGCTATGCAGGGTGTCCCAAAAACAATGGATAACCCTGTAACCATCGATAGGCCTCGCCTCGTCAAATTTGTAACTTTTTGATTACAGCCCTTACAAATCTAAAATTATAGACCCTAACTTTAGAGAGTTTTACCAAAGTAACTAGCACTAATGATATTTTATAAACTTATTTAATTATAATAACACGGAGATACGGCTGATTCTCTGTGAGAACTGAGTGAGCCGACTTTTAAATATTTTTGTTTCATCTTTTTACAAATGGTAAGATTGTTTTTACAAATTGTTTTATGCTTTTTACTAATAGATAAGTATAAATTTTATGCTTTCCAGAGGATGCTCACTCAAAGCACACACATACTATCAAAACAGCCGTGCAAAACATCGGCAATACGATCCTAAGAGCTTTACGATGTCCAATACAAAAGTGGAACAGATAGATGGTTTAAATTAAATTGCGCAGACCTCGAAAGTGCTAGAAGATTGAAAACTAATACAATCGAGTTGCAACACTGAAGAATTTTGCAATATAGGATACTGTATTGAGCATTTTCAACTACTAATATTACTCTGTCGAGTAGTGTTGTCACTCGTTTCGTTACTCGTTTATTTTTAAAAAAGAGATCAACTTTTAGTAACATCAAGAATATCAGCTTATCCACCTTATCGATAAAATTAGATAATTTACGAGAATATTTTATGCTAAGCTAAATCAAAATGTCCAAAGAAAATCTGTATTTTGAAACTTCAATCAAACTAAAGCAGATTCTAGCATATTGTTGTTTGTTGGAACTTTTTTGTATAAATGGCAGATTCTTAATTGAAAGTTGTTTCAGTAAACCGTAGATTCTTAGTTTATCTTTATTATGACAATATAATTTTTTTTTTTTTTTTTTAAATAATCTTTGGACAATTTCACACAGCGCCAGCTAGCCCCAAAGTAAGCAACTTAATGCTTGTGTTATGGGTGCTAGCTTAACGGATATACTACTTATATACTTTTTTTTTTTAAATACATAAATATTATACATAGTCACACCCAGACCCGTCACAGAAATTAAAATTCATCATTTCAATTTCTGCCCGGCCGGGAATCGAACCCGGGACCTCTCGGCATAGGAGTCCGTTCTGAACCACTACACCAAACGGCCGACAAATTATTATTAAGCTGCAGACGGCAACAAATGAGTTTGAGGATTGAGGAACCTCCGTGGTTCCGGGTGAAGCTCACGTCTTCCACCTTCGGCCTGATCATCACTTACCATCAGGTGAGATACAGGCCATGAGCTTCCTCATTGTGGATAAAAAATAATAACATAAATAACAATTCATTTCTCCCACGGAAGATGTTTATAAGACTGCTATGTTTATTCCTCTTTCGTCCAAACAAGATAAGATGTTTTGGGATCAACGCAGCTTTTGTCTGAAAATGATTATGATCCTGATTAATATTAATGTGCAGGGTAATATTTCTCTAATGAATAAAGTTATTCTCATTATTCTCTAAAACATTTATAATGCGTGTCGAAAGTTCCAAACCGACACATTGTAAACCGTTATCTTGCGAATCAAAGTTAGAAATTTAGAAACTGGAGAAAACCATTAAACTTTATAATGAAGTACAAACTCTAGTAGGTATTTTCTTTTAAGTAAAGATCTTATTAAGTTACCGTTCCTATTTGTGTTGAATAGGTTTTTGTTTTTAGCTTACATCTTATTAAGTATCTTATAAATTTTACTTCCACTAACAACTGAAACTCGTGTAGGCGCATGATATTAAATTGTTCTCATAACTCTCATTACATTGTTCTAAAATGGAGGCAGAGTAAGTTTTAATTGGGACGTGTAAATTAAAAGTTATCGTATCGTTACCATAACATTTCTATACCGATATTTTGTTCTATACTCGCATTCGATAATGACTTACTAAGCCATTGATTATTTATTAATTTGACCTATCGATTTATTTATTCGATAATGGATACGTACGCAATACGCATTTGATGGAATAATAGGCTGTCGTGAATAGGAAAACTACGAATTAAGTTTTGTGGTGCGATTTGCGTCGGCAACGCGCTGAAGTTTAGAAGTGTCGCTCTTTGCATAATAATAATTCAGAATCAATTATTTGTAATATTCTGATACTCAAAAAAACCTAGGTAAAGATAATTTGAATCAAGTCAAAAAAATCTTAGGGTCTTTTCTGGTCAAAATCCCTTTGATAGCTTGAATGCACCTAATAACATAAGACCAAGTCCAAAAATAAAAATGAAATTTAATAATCTTTCAGAGCTTTGAATACAGCAATCAGTGTTCGAAACGTCCTAGAAATCCCTGATTAGGAACTGTGTCGACTCCTGCTATATTTAGACGCTCAAATGCAACACACATCATGCAAATTGCAAATTTGAATAATTTATTTTCTATTCCAGGGCGGTAGCGGTGTATTTGCATTCGCTGAAACTGACGCCGAACAATGGCTTCATACACGGAAACCTTGCGTGCATTTACTACAAACAAGGCCTAATCGACCTAGCTATAGACACATATCGCCGTGCTATAGAACTCCAGCCCAATTTCCCAGATGCGTACTGCAATCTGGCTAATGCACTGAAAGAAAAGGGCCATGTCGTGGAAGCTGAGGAGTGCTATAACATGGCTTTACGATTATGCCCCTCACATGTTGATACACTCAACAATCTCGGTAACGTTAAGAGAGAACAGGGCAACATAGCCGAGGCTAAGAAATTATATATGAGGGCTTTGGAAGTGTTCCCTAACTTTGCCGCAACACACAGCAATTTAGCCTCGCTTTTGCAGCAGCAAGGTAATTACAATTATTGTGCTAAGATTAGTGTATGTACTTAAGTGCGTAGTGAAGTTATACATGAAGTAGTGCGAGTCTAAAAACTATTAAAAAATGATTAAAAAATATTTTTGGGTCTAGCAGAGTAAAACAATTATTGATAGCATTTATGTGAATCGAAAGCTACTTTTTAATGCAATCCAAGAATCGATCTGATTACATTTTAAACTGAGAATAGACTGATAAAGAGTTAATTATTATGTATAGTGTTTAATAAACTAGAATTTACAGCCATATAGCTAGTTTGTCTTAGGGATGTCCAACATTTTCTCTTAACTCTTCACTCCAACAATTCGATCCATAGACTGTTATTTGCTATTATTTAATTTTATCATTTTCAATGCTTCAGGTATTTGATTTGACAGATAGAACTAAAACTAATATATTTAATAATTTTTGGGGAATGTTTAACATTATTTTCTGAAGTGAATTTATTTAGCAGTCTAAAAAAATATTTTTTCACAGGTAAACTACATGAAGCGTTAATACATTACAAACAAGCTATCAACATTCAACCCAAATTTGCAGATGCTTACAGTAATATGGGAAACACCCTGAGAGAACTGCAAGACATTACGGGTGCACTCGTATGTTTTAAAAAAGCCATACAAATCAATCCATCTTTTGCAGATGCTCATTGTAATCTAGCAAGCATTCACAAAGATATGGGAAACATCACTGAAGCGATAGATTCTTACAGGAATGCTTTAGAGTTGAAAACAGATTTTCCCGATGCTTACTGTAGTTTGGCTCATTGTTTACAAATAGTCTGTGATTGGGACGATTACGAAGAGCGGATGGCTAATATTGTTGCAATTGTTGAAGACCAATTAAAGAGTGATAAGTTATCTTCTGTACATCCACATCATTCCGTTTTATATCCACTATGTAACAAAGCTAGAAAAGAAATAGCTGTTAGGCATGCAAACTTGTATGCCGAAAAAGTAGAAATGCTGGGTGAGCATGTAAGTTTTTCGTACCAAAAAGAAAAAAAGAGTGAAAGATTGCGAGTTGGCTACGTAAGTAGTGATTTTGGTAATCATCCTACATCACATTTGATGCAGTCAATTCCGGGATTGCATGAAAAATCAAAAGTGGAATGCTTTTGCTACGCTTTAAACCCAGATGACGGTACAACATTCCGTAGTAAAATAGCGAAAGAGTCGGAACATTTCTATGATTTATCAAAAGTTACATGTAATATTGCAGCTGCAAAGAAAATCCATAATGACGGTATTCATATTTTGGTAAATATGAATGGTTACACAAAGGGTGCTAGAAATGAAATATTTGCTTTAAAGCCAGCACCAATTCAAGTCATGTGGCTTGGGTACCCAGGCACAAGTGGCGCTGAGTATATAGATTATTATATAACAGATGAAATTTCTTCACCTCTTGTAATGAAAACTGATTTTACTGAAAAATTCGCTTTCATGCCACATACTTATTTTGTTGGAGATCACCACCAAATGTTTCCACATTTGAAAATCAATTATAAAGTTAATACAAATGACAATGACTCGTACGATTTTAATGAAGCTTTAATTAATGCAGCTGAAAATATCAATATTAAAGAAACTCTTAGTGTAAAAGAAAAAAAAGAAATTATTCATTATGAACAAAAGCCACCTATAGAAGAAATCGTAAGAAAAGTTAACATTCAAAGTTATGTTATGGAAATGACAATGAATTCTAGACAATTGCAGGTATTAACTTGTGCAGTATACTGAATTGTATATTTTTGTTTTAGCATGGTTTATATTGCTATGTTGTTTAAGGTGCTAGTAAATGGTGCGACGATTGACAATGGTCTATCCATACATCATAGTAACAAAAAAGTAGCATCGGGTGAAGAGACATATGACAATATTATATTTACATCGCGGAAACAATACGGTCTTCCGAACGACGCAATTATATACTGTAATTTTAACCAATTATACAAAATTGATCCATCCGTTATGAAAATGTGGATTAACATTTTGAAATTAGTGCCAAACAGTGTTCTTTGGCTACTGAGTTTTCCTCCTGCTGGAGAACCTCATGTTAAAAAATATGCTCAAAATTCAGGTAAGTAATTCTAAGGACCAAAAAAAGTACTTCAAACCCTGGTGGTATCGTGGATCTCTATACAGTTTAACACTCAGACCCACCATACTACTGGCGATACCACTGCGCGGTGGATCTGAAGTGTTAACCAACGGTACCACCAATCTATCGTGTTGTGAAATACCTTTATAAAATAAAAATGCTTTCATTGAACATACATATTTTATGTTATTGAAAATAAAGGAAAAGAAGTAAAAATAAAAATTGAATGGAAAAAAGATAATATATTACATTAGAAAAGCTGTAATCTTTGGCGCTGCTACTTTAATCTATGTGCGCAATTTTTGTAGTGCATATCCAACAGAGATGTTTTTATGGACAATTTGCAGTTGTACATCGGTAATGAAATCATCGTTAATCATTTTTGCTCCTTCCTTCGCTTCTTAGAAGGACCATTTCAAATTTGTGGATATTTTTAATACTTTGAATAGTCGCATTATTTTAATTGTATTTTTATTAACGAGTTTATTACTTTTCGAGTGGTACGACTCCAAAATATTTGTTGTTCTACGTTCGGGCCTGTGGAAATAACAAAAACCCTTGGATAAAATAAAGGTTTATTTTCCTTAAAATGCTCAAACAGCTATCAAAATATTACTTACTTCAAAAACTTAAAACAAAATGGTATTAAAAAGAGTAAAAAAGTACTTATAAAACATAGACAAAGATTCAGTCATAACGTATTGAACGCCATTTTGAATTTCTTTAGCAGGAAGAAGTGGTAGTACGCTTGCTAAGGCTACTAGTCTTCGGCCTTGCTTATGTTTGGTACATCTTAAAGCAGAAAGGCAACTTTCTTACACATGTTTTTTTTTATTCACAACGAGGAAGCTCTTGGCCTGCTGTTTCGTGTCCAATGATAATAGCAGCCTCGTAAATTTTCTGATGGAAATAATGCCATGGCCATCATGGCATTATTTCCATCAGATAATGCCATGATGGCGTTCATTGCACCTTTTTCGTAGTCTGTGTGGACTTTGTGTGGGTTCTATCCTAGGATTTGTTACTTTATCATACTGTACTAAATGAGATAACTCTTTTCAGTTCGATCCGACATGAGTGCGAAAATCTCCATTCTCTTCTTCTTCTCACATCTCCATGAATTTATAAACTTTAGTAAAGGGTTTTGGCCAAGAATAAAATGTACTATTGAAAAAATATTCATCAGTATTCGGAATTACTTGTCGCATTCTTTCGAGCAAAAAACTATAATTCGTATTTGATTAGTTTCATCACTATAGTAAAAAGTAAAAACATAGACAAAGATTCAGTCTTAACGTATCCAACGCCATTTTGAATTTCTTCAGCAGGAAGAAGTGGTAGTACGCTTGCTAAGGCTACTAGTCTTCGGCCTGGCTTAGGTTTGGTACATCTTAAAGCAGAAAGGCAACTTTCTTCCACTTTTTTTTTTTATTCACAACGAGGAAGCTCTTGGCCTGTTGTTTCATGTCCAATGATAGTAGCAGCCTCGTAAATTTCCTGATGGAAATAATACCATGATGGCGTTCATTGCACCTTTTTCGTAGTCTGTGTGGACTTTATGTAGGATTCTATCCTAAGATTTGTTACTTTATCATACTGTACAAAATGAGATAACTCTTTTAGTTCGAACCGACATGAGTGCGAAAATCTCCATTCTCTTCTTCTTCTCACATCTCCATGAATTTATAAACTTGAGTAAAGGGTTTTGGCCAAGAATAAAATGTACTATTGAAAAAATATTCATCAGTATTTGGAATTACTTGTCGCATTCTTTCGAGCAAATACTATAATTCGGGTTTGATTAGTTTCATCACTGTAATAGTCTGCTAAAATAAAATCATGACACTGACCCGAAATTTCAATTTCTTCCAAATCACGGCATATAGTTTTTGAAGTTTCAAGAGCTGATTTTGTTCGGGCGTCCTGAAGAAAATGCTACGCCTTCATACCTAGGATATTCCCCTATTTCAAAATTAATTTCCGTGTCTTCGTAACTTCTCTTTATATTTTCGTACAATCGTTCAGTAGGTTCATCAGATGAAAGTACCACTTCACGCAAATAAGGTACATTTTTTTTTCAATATTTCGTTACTCGATGAATTTATTTCACACTTGTGTGATCCTTACTTTTCATGTAGTTATTCTCCTGAAACATAACCGGGTTGTATTATAAGTATTTCTAAATCATAGGTCTAAAGAAAACTTGTGACTCGCACTTGGCCGGTTTTTATTTTATTTTACAAAAGTATTTCGCAACACTATACGTAGATTGGTGGTACCGTTAAACTTTACTACCAGGGGTATCGTGGGTCTGAAGTAAAAAAAAAATATAATAATTTATAAAGCCTTTCAAGATAAACTTATTCAGTTACATTCTAATTATTTGTTTCAGGGTTATCACCTAGTCGAATCGTATTTTCTCGTATAGCGTGCAAAGAAGAACATGTTCGTAGAGGGCAGTTAGCTGATGTTTGTTTGGATACCCCGCTATGTAACGGCCATACAACTGCAATGGATGTTTTGTGGGCAGGAGTCCCACTCGTCACACTGCCGGGAGAAACACTAGCATCAAGGTAACCTCAAAAATTAACAATAAAAGACATGCACACACAACGCTAGGGACTTTAGCATTTCGTTCACAATATTACGGGCTGACGGCAGTTTTATCACCGATTGGTTATCAATTTGACATCTTAAAATATTACTTTGTATACGTATCAAATTTTCATAACCTAATACGAAAATTATGGACGAGCGCCTAAACGAATAAGGGCCTTCGCTAAAATCTCACGTGCACTGCTCATATTTATTTCCGATAACACTCCGCGCGTGCACCCGCGCGATTTTTAGTAGAGGGACCTAGTTAACAACAACCACTCCATTGGAATATTCAATTGCAATATGTTATTTTATGGTACCTAGTTATTAGAATAGAATAGAATAGAATATTGTTTATTTGGCACAATACTCAATACAAGATAAAACATACATAAAAAAAACTAAAAAAGAAACGTTATAAAATTTAAAAAAAAGTTTGAAATCTATATAAATAAAAATGAATTGATGTTCGTTAGTCGGATTATAACTCGAGAACGGCTGGGCCGATTGAGCTGATTTTGGTTTTAAAATGTTTGTCGTAGTCCAGGGTAGGTCTAAACGGTGAGTAAATACGCGCGCGATATTGTTTTTCTGTGACAGACAAAATTCCACGCGGGCGAAGCCGCGGGCGGAAAGCTAGTAGAAAATAAAATTTTGAGTGCCCTGTGCCAAAAAGGTCCCTGGCTCAGCATTAGTAGCAATAGCAAGGACCTGTGGGGCACTGGGGTCGCCGTAAAAATTAAAAACAAACACACAGATTACCTACCACAGAAATACAGACAATAAAATCATAAAACAATTATATAAAAAAAGTTCCAGAAGTGCAAAATGTTACAAAGAAAAATTAAATGAGTAAATTAAACAAATAAAAAAATAAAATTAGGAGGAAAAGGTAAAAAAGGACAAATTATATAAATAAGATTAATGCACAGGCATGACACATTAAAAATAAAAGGGCACATTTTTACAACTTTGGCTGCTAGGTCCAAAGTATTGTGTTGAAGAACAATAATAATTGCCAAATGATAGAGAATCGTAAATTTAAAATAATATTCTTGCTGGCACGAATTGGGCCTGCGACTTTTGCGATTATTCCTTTTTTAAAAATGAAATATTACCCTTCATGGCCTAAATGTGTCTTCAAATATAAATTTTAGCGCCTATTATTAACTCTTTTGTGAACAGAATTAATGACAACATTCGCGGGTTATATAATAATAAACTAATACCTATTGACTGCTCATGTAAATATGAGTAGATTCATGTATTTTTACGAGTATATTGATTCAATGTTTTCCTGTTACGTGCACGAATAATTATTTTGATTCACTACTTTACTTTCATAAGTTACAGTAAGAAGAGAAAAAATGACACCTACTTGGATTGATTTCAGAGTTGCTGCTTCACAATTGAACACATTGGGGTGTTCTGAGCTTATTGCAAACAGTCCAAAGGAATATCAAGATATTGCTGTAAAGTTAGGTCTAGACAGGCAATAGTAAGTTTTTATGATAATCCCTTTTACCTATTATTATTACTCGTACCGAATAATTAGATAACTTACGTATTTACAAACATTACTATGAAGACTCAAGGTCTCAAGGTATGTGTGGAATCCACGCGCACTGTGAGACATTGTCCACGCCGTGGACGCACAGGGACCCAAAATTTGAGTATAAGACTGGCGGAGTGACTCACACGAACCAATCACAAGAGTTCTATTCAACGCTGTGAGTTCGACTTCGCATAGCGTTGCTACTTCACTTCCGCAAGCATCGTTTGTGAATACAGGATACACCTGTTGTTGGGGGGTTGTTGCTCAGATTTAAGCCTCCTGCCGAATCATAAAACAGACGACTGCATAATCATTGTACTCGTAAATAAGTTACCTTACCCATTTTTGTTGCATTGGCTCCAATTTCAACTAGTACCTACCTAAGATGCACAGTGTTTAGCTTGAGCTTTGTTGTCTGTACTAAACAAGTTGTTCAAAACAAAAAATGTGTCACAACAACAGTAGAGGTTACCAAAACTAACTGCAAATCACGTAAACAATTACGTTTTATCGGTAAACACCCATAAATCATTATGAGCGTTTGTTTACAAAAATTTTGGTAAGCAGTTGTTTGAATAGTGTTATTATACCGCTCTGTTCAATGGATAAAAATGAATGAAGCCTTTCTGTTTCGTCCGGACACAAAAGTTTTATGTAACGTAATAAAATTAAAGTTTAGCACAGCCTGCTTTGATACTTAGAAATCTCTGACCCACACATGATTCATTTAAAATTTAAAAGATTGGAATTTACGTATGGCTCCAGTTTATAATGCTAAAATATTAATCATGTTTTACAATGTATTGTAACATTATGTATCTACCTAATAATCTGTTTTCTTTTGTAGAAAGAAAAAAAAGGATTTTTATACTCAAAGCGTTGTTTTATATCGGCGACAATAGCCCAAGATTACAATTCTAGAAGATTAGTCATTTGTATTGTTCACATTACTAACAGCCCCGTTAACTCCCCTTGATAAACTAAATGCTTATTACAAATTGGTTAACTATCACTACAATTTATAGACTAAGAACGGGGTTGAAACCAGCGTCCCTTGAATCTTGAGCCATCCAGTCCGACACCGACACCGTTGAGCTAAATTGTCGCCTCAAATTCCAAGAACGCTAGTTTGTGGTCGACCGATGGACTCTACGGTGAAGCCACTTGTAACAGAAGCGAATATATATTTAGCTTACTTGGAGGGGACAATAAGGAGATCATAGTAGCTCATTCGTAAAATGAAATAACTTTGATGCTTGTTGCTATCACAAAACCATTAATAGATTTATCATTTTAGTTGCAGGTATGTGAGAGCAAAGGTATCTAAAGCCCGTTTGGAAAGCACACTATTTGATTGCAAACATTACGCTCGTGGACTGGAAACTCTTTACGAAAAAATGTGGAAACGATATGAGAATGATGAGCGACCCGATCATATAAAGGCCTACTAAATTACACGGATCACTGTCTCGAGAAAAAAGGTACACAAGTTATTTTTAGTATTGTACCCTAATAACTTCGTCAATAGGGTATTTGCCTCCACTAATCAATTGACGTACTTTTTACAATTGTCAAAATGAGACTCACCGATAGATTTTGTATGGCAAAGTGACGTCACTATTTTGTCAACTCAATTAAACTACTTTTTTTAATTACAATGCAACCAAAAATCTTAATCTAATTTACAGGTAATTTAAAATTAATTATTTATTTAAGACCAGAACGAAGTGCCATTTTTTAAAAAGTTGTGCTTTAGAATTATTGGGGAGTGAAAATACCCAATTCTAATACTCAGAGAAATCTCTAGAACTCAACCTTTCTCCTTAGTAGGCAAATTGTTTGCCGGTTTATTTTAATTACGGCAATAGATCGGTTTGTTTTAATTACTTAAAATAATATTTCATTAATTATTGCTTTGTTTGTTTCAGCAAAATGAGGATATGCGACATGGAAAGAATATTCTGACAACGAAATAATTTCCCCCTTCTACATCTACATATTCGAATAGGTCCTCCGTCCAGACAATGTCCAGAAAAAGTTCGATTTTATGAAAGTAGTTTTTAAAATTGTCATTATTGTAAGTGCGCAAATGAATAAAACTCAAGTTTTCTTAATCGTATCTAAATATTTTAACGTCTTAGATAATAGTTATAAGAACATTATTGATGTGATTATCAAGAAATTGTTTTGGGATGAGTGTTTAATGTTATATGCCGCAATGAAATTTTATTCCATTATTAAAAACTTTCAAAATAAAGACAGAGATATATCATTTTTTATTATCATTCCCCTTTTAATGATGGAACTACTGATGATAAATTTGCATCATTTTAAAAGGAGCTAATGATATAAATTAATATCAGTAGCTCCATCATGGAACTATTGGATGGTACTAGTGTCAACGAAGGTTCTAAATTACCTACTTTTTTATAATAAAACAACTCTGGTCACTACTAATGAAACGAATAGAGGTTAATCGTTTTTTAATGATGTACTCCTTTAACAACAGCAACTCTCTTCGTTCCAACTAATAACCTTCTACTTAACGCGAAAACCACATATTTTTAAGCACATTCGCGTTCATTCATCTCAATTAGCTTTCCGCCGGTGGATGACCGTTTAAGTGGTACTTAACTAGTCTAGTCTCAGTTGGTTGGATAGTCTTTCTTAAAAAGATTTATGCCCGTATTCACAAACGATGCTTGCTTAAGTGAAGCAGAAAATCGAACGCACAGCGTTGAATAGACCTCTGTGATTGGTTCGTGAGTCACTCTGTGCGTCCACGCGCACTGTGAGACCTCATAGTAATGTTTGTGAATACGGGCGTTAGATATTGACACCAAAAAATAACTTAAATTCATTGTTAAAATCAACAATCAAATCATTTTGCCAATGAAAATTTCTAAAACAAAACCGTATGACAACCTATGAATAGGTAACTACTAGGTATACAAGTTTGAATTTAAATTGAAAAGCCAAATGAAATCTGTGATTGGTCTAAAGAAATTCAACAAATTGCAGGCTTCAACCAAGCTTTAACACTAGAATACGAAATACGAGCTAACGGATCAAGCTTTAGGACAAAAATTAGCTGAACAATTTCAGTATCGGACTGCCGATTCAAGAGGCGCTACACAAGTAGGATTTTATTAGTGCAATACTTACTGTTAAAATCTGATCGAGTGGACTGTATTATATTGGTGAGATAGTCCTGCTGGTGGTGATTATGCAAGAAGCTATTGAGAAAAATCCAATTAAGTGCCAAATAGTCTATTTTGCTCAAGACAAAAGACAGTAAAAAAGCAACTTCAAAAACCAAAAATAATATTTTAAAAAGTAAAATACCATATACTCGTATAATATCAAAAGAGGATTGCTGGCCAAACTGCCAGCAACATCCTCCACCTCCCTGGCAGAGCCGATTTAGTCAGGAGGGGGACTTGATGGAAGTTTTACCAGCTTAGTGACTGGTCGCCGCAGAATCCCATTTTTATAACAATAAATTGCTAATCCCGTACACCACTCAAATTAAGCTAAATCATATTGCTTTTATTGTTATTTCTTATTAATATTCATGAAAAAACATTATACAGCCCTGTATTTTCGGATCGAATCTCTTAGGCCCAGAACAGACGGTGAAACGCAACTGCAACGAAACTGCAACTGCTAGTTACTTTTGAGTTGCATCTTTCTGCCATAGCGTCCGTTGAGAGACCACACATGAGGCGACCAGTTTGAAACTTTCAGTTTTAGTTTCATTCATCAGAATCATCACAAAGTTGCAGTTTCGTTGCAGTTGCGTTTCACCGTCTGTTCTGGACCTTACTCGTTGATCTGAAGTGAGGCAGCGCAAGAAAGCATTGCGGACAGGAGCTGCTGCTTGTCCATTGACGAGGAACAGGGCATAGGTAATAATCACGAAGACTATTAAAATAAGAAAGACGTTTATTTGAAAAATGATTTATTTTTTCCCCTCTTTTTTACATTTCATTAATACTCAAATAACTATAGTGTAGCTAATAATAAATATAAAACCGATTCGCGAAATATTCTTCGATAAGTTTACGTTTCTATTAATGTTAAACATCTAAATCGTTTAAAAAATAATTATAACTTCACCGAGAATGACAATAAACATATTTTAATGCTTATTAAAAAATACATAAATACGAGTGTAAAGCGCACATACAGATCCTTTATTTTTATGAGCTATTCCGATAATATTAACGTGCTACGGTATATTGCTTTGTTTTCGTTATTATATCGCTATTAATCTCATCAGTATATCGTACCAATTAAACAAGCGCTAATCCATGTTGATTTTTTTCGTGTCATAAACTTTCGATCACTTGTTTATTAATACTGATTTTCACCCACATTCTTAATCCTTTTCATAAGGCTTACTCAGAAAGGAATTCCGAAGAAAATTTGACTATCCTCATACTCAATATAGAGTTGGTCGTCGACAAGCAGTCTGAAAAATATATTGAGTAAAACTCAATATTACTTCAGATATTCCATTTGTTATCTTCATGAACGGTAAGAGAATTCACAAGGATAATTTAATTAATAGGTACTATGCAGTTATTATAAACAAATTGTATCACATACTGATTGCCGATTTCTACTCCGATATTTTTTAATGTTAGTAATCTCGTATGATATTTCAAACAATTGTTTTTCTTTGAGATTTTAGGGTCTAAATTTAATTACCCATTCCAAAATATTTTTTTATGCATGACAAGGCAGGTATTTGACCGCAATCGCACCTGGAGTTAAGATTAAATAAATAAATATTAAATTAAATCTGTAATCAAGTTATACCTACTTAGTTACATAAAAATATTACAATAGGTTTATAAAGTTCTGGCGTTTGCACAAAAAGACAATCTATAAAAAACATCCAATGTTCTACTACATTTCTTTTTCATTTTCACAAATAACAATTGAGTTTGAGGAAATCAGATTTAACTTTCCTTATTTTTCTTTCATTTCTTTATTAATTGAGTCGAGGTAGTATATCATAAGAACATGGGTGATAGTCGCTTTCGAAGAATCGTTGTTAAATTTTTATGTCACAGATCTATTTTATCTTCTACAACTACATAATTTATAGTTAAACTATTCATGTTTCTTTATTTGTATTATAATATAATATTAATAATTATTTTTTACGTTTCGTGTTGTGAGTTCGTATTATACAGGCGTTCGTTTTTAAGAATTATCGCTATAAATAATTGAACAATATTACAAATGCCGTTTTGAGCGTTTTGTCATGTGTTGCATTTATAATAGGAATGTTTCATACAAATACACCGATATCGTGCAGATTTAGTTTAGAATGTGGTATTGAGATGTCAATTTAAATATCATGATACTCATAGATACAATACAATAATATGAGTGAGCAATAAAATGACAAAATCTAGAACTACTCTTGAACTGTAGTACTCGTAGCAAAATGACTCAAATACTTGTGCAAAGTTAAGATCTTAGGTGAAGAGATTATTCATCATAATTTGTAAAACGTTTGCCATAAATATTGCTTAGGTGGTTCAACAAGAGAAAAGGATCTAGATCTATTTATTAACTACAAAATATGCTATGCCAACCCCGATACAGGTATGTTTTAAGGCATTTTAGACTCAATGAAGTATGTGGCCTAGTTTAATTAACAATATACAGTTTTTGAGTTACAAATGTCATGTATGGTAATAAGATATATAACATTGCTACTTGGTGTGCCACCGGAGAGATCCGCACACATGGTGGGTAGCGTAGCGTGTCATGCATATGCCCCGCGAGGCCGCGTATGCCCCGTAGCAATCTGAATACATCTTTAAATGTCAACTAGCAATAATATATACTATAACATAATAATAAATGTCTTTTAATGTGTAACAGAAATAATCTCTAAAATATTTTAAACAACATAATATCGTTTCATATTTCTAATAACTAATGAATTGTAGAATTTTAAAATCCACGTAGATATTTTATTGTTTATCAGATAAAAGAGGTACACATAATTTTACATATAAAAAGAGATCAGTCTATTCATCGTAGTATGATACTCCAAAAATAATCATACTTTAAAGTCAGACACATAGGCGAAATGAAAAAAAGAGTAGAAGCTTTCATACTACGATTTATAGATAAGTATTTTAGACAATTTATTATTTACCTTCACTAATTTTAAATTACTTACTACAATAATATTGAGCAAGAAAATAAATCCGTAATAACAAAATGTACTGGAGTAACATGAATAAGAAAATAGACAGGTTGATTACTCTTAATGAGCTAATTACCTATCATTTGCTTACAAAATACGTCTATGAAGAGTGCGTTTGACTTAATCCAATAAATATTGAAATCTAGCGCTTTGTTAATAAGACACTGCTTGTGTGCTCTTAAATGCTAATCATTTTGAAACTTAACCGTACTAATAACTACGACTGCATTAAAATTTACTTTTAATGAATATGGCACTTGCACTTTTTACTCTGCTGATAATAAATATGAATCCAATTGATGTTAATAAACAGTGAGCAGTATAATAACCAACTAGTTTAGTTCATCGCAGCACAAAATAGGTCTACCTATACTTATTATTTGAGTTAGTATAAGACCATTAAAATATATGTAGTTAATATATGTATATTGGATTACTTTATTAGGTACTATAATGTGACTGATTCTGAGGTTTCATTATGTCTGAATATAATATTTATCTTTAACTTATAACGCAGTAAGTGTCTAAGTTGGCATTAAACTTAAATATTTTGAAATAAATGGCGACTTAGGTACAAAGTTACAACCATTATACAAAGAATTTTTAAATCAATACATATTTGATTATTTTTAATTTCTAAAATACCTACATTGAGGTATAAAATGAAATTGTATGTGGCTACAAAGAATTAGACCCAATGTACTAAGCTTATATTCAGCCAGACCATGATAAGAAGGCTTTCTTTAAAAGTCATTGTCACTGACACCGATCTGGATATATGATTTACCTTACAACACACATAAACACACTTTGCAATATGCTATACTTATGGAACAAATGTATTAGTTTATAACACATTAATTGGATTGTAACTTTAGATATACATACATTTATAATTACATGCGATGAAGAATTTAAAATTTACAGCGAATAATAAATTATTTAAAGTCAGTTCAGGTAAAGCTTAAATAAAATAACTCTCTCCTCATAACGTAACATACTAAAGTGTGTAATTAAATAAATACGTAGATACTTAAATTTTATTTTTCTTACTTAAGTCTAACCGTTCCGTACTTAGTATCTAATCACTAAACAATTTTTAGAATTTCGTTTCGGAAAGACGAAGCTGAAGCTACGCCATGCACGATGATGCCCTATGTTAAAACCTATACATAATATAATGCGTGGCGTTTGCGGGTCGTGCGTTGTTTTTATGAGAGCGCGGAGTGGGAACGGACCGAGTCCGACCCACATGGCTCATTCGAGTCGCACGCCGCGCCGCGAATCCTTGTGAACATACCTTTATTTATATTGCCCGGTCTACCCAGCAGCAAACCTAATCTGTCTAACAATATTCTAGTGAGTAGTTTAAAATATAAATTGGGATCAAAAAAGGTGAATACACATTTACAGGGTGATTTACATTTATATCTGAGTGCATTTCAATATAATAAGGTACATAATAAACATTTTCTAAAATGTACATATTTTTTTATCGTGTCTAAGATTTACACTCCTACTAATAAGAAGGTATAGTTCCTCATTTATCTACGAAGGTAAATGTATTCATACTTATATATAATCCGGCATTTATAAATACACGATTAACCTACTTATCCTTATCTGAATGCTGGTATGTAATAAAATTTAAATGTAAAACTTGCCAATATAAAGATATTTAAATATATAACAAAATCGTATCATTGTTACATAACAGTATTAAAAATTTAAAACATGTTAGAATTACTTATACAGGGTTTTAGGTAAATGGGTATATGAGCAGACACTAGCCCATGTTAACATGGTCATATAAATGGTATGGTGAAGTCAGAAAATTGATATCTTCATTTTAATTATTTTAATTATTTTCATACAAATCGGATTTTATAAAATTTATTTTGTATAAAAATTAAAAAAATCAAAATGATGATATCAAATTTCTGACTTCACCATACCATTTATATGACCATGTNTTAATTATTTTAATTATTTTCATACAAATCGGATTTTATAAAATTTATTTTGTATAAAAATTAAAAAAATCAAAATGATGATATCAAATTTCTGACTTCACCATACCATTTATATGACCATGTTAACATGGTCTAGTGTCGGCTCATATACCCATTTACCTAACACCCTGTATATAAGACAACCATATTTCATAAATAATATTACTATATTGTATAAACAAAAACTCTAGCGTTCTGTAACATAACAATGTATGAATATATTTGGTGTTATGGAATTGTTTACATAATAATTTATCATTATTTTGTTCTAGATTATAATCAATGTGACAATATATAACTCTAAACTGGGTTCCATAAGGTACATTATTTATTACATTAACTAGTAATGTAAATATTCTAATCTAATATTATTTATAACAAAAAACGACTTATAATATACATTTAGTATTGCATTATTGGTGTTTGTCCAAAGGGCAGTATCGTCCGAACTAGAAAAACTAGATTCAGCTTAATAGTTGTAAATCTTACGGGTACAAAAACATTATCATCATTTTGTACGTTATCACTGCCTATCATTCCAACCTTAGGGAACCCGCTATTGACTGGGGAGAAACTGGTGGTCGTAGCTGAAGACAGGAGCCCTGCTTGTCAGATATTTGAGGGTATCACTATATCGAAGTTGTAGAGGCAGGAACAAACATTTCATATTTGTCGCAACAATGAAAATGATTTCAAATGTGTGACAAAACTTTTGAAGCGCATTTCCCACTTCGACAACGATTTCCAATGCTCAATGTTATGCTACTCACTACTGGAGCGTTGGATAAGATTCTGAGCGAACGAAACAAGCTATTTATCTAATTATACTAATTTAGGAAAGCATTGCAAGGTCTACGGTGCGGCTAGTCTAGTAAAGAAATGGCGAATGTATCGAAGTTACATATTATTCAACATCATTATGTAAAATTTAATTTGTAAAGTCGTGAAAAATTTTGTACATTTATGTTTGGATTCAGGGAGCTATAGTCATGCGGTGATCTAGCGTTATCCATGCGGTGACAGCTTTGGCGATAAGCCAGGGTCACGGGAGACTATCGCAGGTATTTAGAATTTCAGGAAACACTTTTATTTCCCCAGCTTTAAGTAGGTATAGTCTGCTTATGATTTGACATTATGACATGATTTTTCGTCGTCGCAGTTTTTTCAGGTTTCCCGGCACTATCAAAAGTCTGTTCCTAACATTCCTTTGACATAGCCCTTATTATTAGGTACAGGCAATATGACTGATATAAATACACATAAAAGCTACAAAGCTAGCATCATCTGCAACTACACATGCCTAAACTCAATAAAAATCCAGCACCTTTCGACCGTACATAGGGTGGCTAATATCTAATTTACATTATGTTGTTGTCCTTTGTCTTATTATTTAATTTTATCTATCTTAATGAATTTATATTAAGTTATTTATACGAGTATATAAATGAAATGTAACAGTTAACATACCATTTTCCTATAATTAAACTAGTTAACTGAAACATTATAAGATTTCAAAAAGTATTAAAGTAACATTTTAACGGTGGGATGACGTTAAAACAGTCAAGGGCGCTTTGTTGTAATACTTGGAAAATGAGGAAACCGAATCATACTACAGACAACACAATTATTTGAATGATAGTAATAATGTTAGATTAAAAGTACATGCTGGACCGGAATTATATTTGGGTTTAGAAATCAATGTAGCGCATGCATGCCATTGATGGATTTGAGTTAGCAATAAATTAACTCTTGTTAATTCATCCATGAAACTCGGTCATTTCATCTACTGATAAATTACTTTCTAGTGCTGTCTATCAGTAATTATTGCTATTAGATTGATACGTAAAACACTGACACGAGTATCATTGAACAATCAAGTCGATTGTATATCACAACGTTGGAAACTCAGCATGCAATACGATTAAAAGCAAAGTAATTATCCCAATACATTAATAATTTTACAAACAACAACATAAAGCTACGTACAATATTAAAATAAAAATATTCAAGGTTTAGTTTTACTACAATAAAAAAAATTAATGATCAATCTAACAATACAGTCAACAAAAAATAAATGAGTCACTTATAACATACACAAAAATCTAAATGAAACTAAGTAATTATCAAGCAAAAAAAATTTTGAGCATCAGTATTATTTTAATTTAATGTTCCACTCATTTTACCACAAAATAATAATTTGAAACTTTTTATCGACGATTATTATTTTCTCTTTCGGCGAGACTTCCGTTAAAGTCAATTTTATAGGAACTTCATGAACGTACAAATAACACGTAAATCCACGAGTGTATCGAAATATATTAAATTGTAAAAATAACAATTTTAGTTAATGAATCTATACTTTTCGATTTTTCCGACCTTACTATCTATCGCCATGACCAGTATATTTACAGAGGTTAGTTCACTAGGAAACGTTGGTTACCGACCCTCAGTAAATGGTGAAATTATTACTCTATGGCCTATGCTATACATACGAGTAAATCCGTATTTGTAAAAAAAGTACGCCTTTTATGAGACCTACATGACAATTTTCAGTCGTTTTAGTTTCTACCTCAGACTCAAGAAAAGAGATTAAGACTTAGACTAAGACGTCCATAATTTACTCGTATCTTTCAAGTCGCAAATATTTACAAGTTTTTTTTAGGTTTTTAGCGTTTAAATACGTTTACATCTAGCAATTACGGTTTATATCTACCTACATTATATTCAATTGTAAATTAGGTTCGGTGTTTCATAAGAACTACATTTTTTCCAAATGCTATCTCTCACTAAATCGACACATCGATTACTCTTGCACTATGGACTACCGATTTCTACGCGCTTTTTGTTTAAGTATGTTTCAAATTATTATTTGAGCTACGATGGTGGGAAAATAAGTGGATTTTACAATACACCCTCTATTTATCCTCTTCCAGAAGAACCAGATCATCAGCCACGACGTCCGACACGTGTAGGTAAATGATCCAATACATGAGGTTAAAGCATACGAAGCACACTGGGAACACGATTCGCGAGTACTTGTCGATGTCAGATGGCGTCATCCCCAGGAGCTTGCTTATATCCTGAAATCAGACAACGCAATTTTATTTACAAAATGAAACTATGAACGCTTAGAGATCGCCAGCATTCCTAACAATTTAGATTGAACGTTACCGCACAGCAGTTTATAAAAAAAACATCATCGCTAGCTTTGTCGCCAAGCAGCAAAATATTAAAAAATAATTATCAATTACATTTACCTTTCCAGGATGCAGAATATGAGGAGGAGGGCCAGGATTTTCTTCTTCAGCGCCACTTCTTCCACCGTTGATCGTGTTTTCGAGAGTTCCTCCTTTCGAGTGCGCCTTTGGATCGTGCACTTTAAATCGCACCTCCTGGAAATATTATTAGAAATATTTGCAATAATCCGTTGACATTAATAAGTTAAGTCATGCAATGAAAAAATAGCAAAGGAAATTACCGAACAGCTTACCGAGGGCCTACCCGGCGGACACCGACCGAGAGTCCCCATTTTGGATAACGTGTGTGGATCTCCAACAGGAGGACAGTCAACGGGAGGCATTTTCTTTTCAGATGCAATCTTCTGGATCGCCACGAACCTTTGTTTTCTCATTTGTATCCGTTTAGCCATATAACCCACCGTTGCATATTCTGAAAAGAAGAAAACGAACTGTCTAACTTACCGTTTTAAGTGAATAAAGTTTCACGTTCGCTGAGCTTACACATTTGTAAAACTAATAATTTTCAATTCGCTTATGCAAATTAATTGTATAAACTGTCGCGTTTGCTATGCATAAAAGTAATATTTATGGAAAAGTATATTACCTAATAGACTAGCGAAGACCATCACGAAGCAGGTGCCCAGATAAACATCTATAGACTTGACGTACGAGATTTTGGGTAAGGCAGCGTTTGTGGACGACATGAGGGTAGTCATAGTCAACACAGTGGTGACGCCCAGCGCCACTCGGGCCGGGGTTGCGTTGCGGTTCAACCAGAATGACACCCAAGATATGATTACAATTAGACCAGATGGAATGTAAATTTGGATGAGATAGTATCCCATGGAACGAACGAATTGGATCTCACACGCCAACCGCGAATAATTTCCTGTAATAAGTTCAATTACATATTTATTAGTTTGTCAAAGTATATTGCAATTAATGTTTTGAATCAATATAATTTAAATCAAAATATTAGACAAAGTTAAACGATAATCTTGAAGTAGCATGTAAGATTAAAGTATTTAGTATATAATTTGATTTTATTAAACATAAAAGACAATATTGACAGTACTAGTTCACACCACTCATAGTGTTTTTGTGCAACAATACAAAAGCAGGACGTGAAAAGAATCGTGGCTGTTTTTGTCCAGTGTTCCACTTTGTGGTGAATTTTTAATTTTTGTCGTTTAACCCCCGCAAACTCAAGTACCTGTGGTAAGGGAGATCTCCATGGCTCGCTGGCGATGGCCCAGCACCTTGAACTGCGGCAGCGACACCTCGCTCGATACACCGACAGAGTTGGGGCCCTCGTTCCATTTGTATCTGATGTCCCGCATGGTGTAGCCGACTGTGCGCAGCGGACACAAAAATGAAATAACCCCAGGCCCATCGCAATGGGTTTTGAATCGAGTCTTCATTCGGTCGGGGTAAGAGCGGGGGAGTCGCGAGCTCAGTTTCGCGCGTCTCGTCGTGCGATTGTCGTGTTGTGTTTAGCATGTGTGCGAGTGTCGCGGTATCGATCGTCTGCACACGGGCTGAGGGAGACGGGGTCGGTGGCAAAGCGATGTACGGATAGTGCTGGGACAGCAGAAAATGCGACATGTTACCTGTTGTCAGAGTAACCACGGTAGCCCGCTGGCGGTGGCCCAGCACGCGAAACTGTGGTAGCTGCACTTCATTGCTCATCCCAACGCTTGATAGCCCATCTTTCCAATGGTATCGAATGTCTCTCATTGTGTACCCGACTCCGGAGACATGCCAAACACACAAAACGCTATCACTTACGCTGCGTAGCATCGCGGAGCCCTCACGAGCCGCGGCGGCGACGAGGATGGGACTCACGGGCACAAATTGGCGAGACTTAAACGAGCGGTACTGAATGAATCCCCAGGATTCTATTGAAAAGACGCTCGGTTTAGCTCGATATGGATGATAGAAAAATATAAATCTACTAAAATCTAACATCTAAGGTGACAGAAAAGTTAAACCTTAGTCCAGCAGCCTGATCTTGAAGGTATATAAGATTAGAAGGTGCAAGAAGGCAGAAATAAAGATGATACCAACGCTAATTGTTAATGGATGTAAACATACTTAGTATGATGTGCAAGACATATAGTTAAAATGTGAATATAAAAAGCATGCACACGTTTCATGCAGATGCATTGATGCAGTCGATGAGGGTAAGCACAGCGGTGGTGCGAGGGTGTGTGTGGCCGGCGTGCAGTGCCGCCCGGAGCGCCCGCCGCCGAGCCCGCAGGCACCACCGTCCCCGCCTCCTTTGGCCCGCAGCTATCGCAGCGTCGATGTCTTAGTATCAGTTCTTTCGCTTGATGCTCGTGTGAACAAAGGCTTACTATTGTACAGTCTGCCTTCTGCGGGTGCTGTATGCGAGAAGGAGACATTCCAACTTATGAAAACACGAGGGAATCACAGCACGTGTCGACGAGTAACTTTTACGCTAGTGCTCACAGGGTATCCCTGAGTAGCATCTGTGATACAAGAAAGTGGTCACAACACAATATCTGTAAGCCTAGTGATAAATTTGCATTGTGGTAGAGTTAAATCAATGATTGCTTTAGGTGAGCACAACACACGTATGTTTTCAAAATACAATAAATATTATTTTTCTATCATCTATACGCAATATTTTATGTCTCGCACGGTAATTAGATTTTTTATTCACACACGTTAAAGTAATTAAAAAACAATATTTTATGCTTATTACAAAGGCAACAGACTTCAAAACACACAAAGCGTGCCCGTCATTGTTTTACTAATGTTCACATCTAAAATATATCGTTAGTCTCATTAAGAACACAACGTTGTACACGTGAGTTTATTACTACCAATGTGAGTATTATACACTTATTAGCACGTTTGTTAAGCACTCTTTTATCGATGCTTGGCTACAGGGGCCATAGTCAAGATACTTACAACTCTCGATTTCTATATGGCATAATTGTCGGTCCATTGGGAAGTATTGAAGGTTCATAGGGCAGGAGGCTGTGATTGTCAACCTGTAATTAAAAAATAACGTATGTCAGGATTTTTAATTTCTTTAGAATACTTTACAGCCATGTGAAAAAAACGTTGAGTTATTGTTTTGAAATACCTGATGCTCCTTGTGATAGATCCTGAGTAGTGTATACGTATGAATTCGTTGCTAGTTGTTGCTATATGAAAGTACGATTGCTTTTCATTGACGAAGAATGTGTCAGGCACCCATATGTTCTTTATAAATTCAGAACCCACTGATAAAGTTTCAACTCCAGTTCTTTTCTTATAAGCTAATCGGGGGTCCGTCCAGAACTGTCTGAAGTAAAAATCCAATGTGAAATCCTGAGGAAACAAAGAGTTTTAATTTTAGTTTACGATAGGTATATTTTGTACAATAGTTGCCATTAAATAATTGCATGATATATGAACATCGAGATATAAATTGATAGTAAATATTGAAGTTCAGCATCGCTCTTACATAACTATCAAAATGTATTTTAGCTACTTTGTTTTTGTTTTCAATTCATAATGATACTGTTCGAATAGTTGCATAAGAGCTTTTAGACAAAGGATCCTCAGGAAAATTCTGAGTTTTCAAGAATGACTAGTATACGAACATCTAACATCTGCATGCTATTCAGACACGACTTCATCCTACACAATGTCTTATGCACTGCGATAGAGTTGGTATAGGATACGGTTAAATACGAAGTCAGGTTATTTGTAATAGGAGACACCTTACAACATGATATAGACACTGCACTACACCAATTGAGCAGTAAGCTTGAAACAATTATTAAAGTAAACAAATAAATTGAATGTGCAGAGTGTGTGTGATATGAAGCCTACAGAACACAAGTGAGGTCTAATAATGAAAAAGTAGGTAGGTGCTCTAAGTGGAGTTGAGGGCAAGGTGAGTGTGGGTGGTGGCGCAGGCGGGCACCCACGGCTCGATAAAGGCAGTCCTCTCGGTTAATTGAAGCCAACAAGCCGGCGCGGTATACAAGTTGCCACGAAAAGTTCGGACCGCGTTTGTAGAACAAATTAACGTTCGTTAATGAGCTCGAATCGCGGGTTTGTGACTTGAAAATAAGGCAATCTCCCCTCCCTGGGCCATGGGTCACGTCTCACTGTGACCTTCCCAACCTTGATTTGGTTTCCACTTTGGGGTCCTTCACCCAAATACACGCCTACCAAGCTCACAGTTGGTTACTTTGGAAAACCGAACGTTGACCTCGATCCGCTATTGTATTTCACAAATATTCTATCATTTCATGCGCGAACTTTACGAGCCAAAGTCACGAAGCTATTTGAAAATGTAATATGTAAAGAGATTAACGGAGGGCCAATTTTATCGATGTTCCAAGTTGAGGGAGAAAATAGAATTTACGGTTATGTTTGCAAATTCTGAAGATACACATATACGTACATACACAACAAACTACAAAATGAATCACGATAAGATCTGAACAGTCGTCGCAAATCCATAGAGCACATGAAAAAAAATAAACACACATGAAAAGAAACTGAAATAATATATTTATGAATCTGCAACTTTAAAATTGGTTTTCTTTTTACAAAATAGAAACAAAAAGAAATTAATAACTCATGAAAAACACAAGTGATGAGTATCTGTTGGTCAGAATCAACGATTTAAGTTCAAATGTTTACTGAAAATAAAATGATCCAATTTTTATGAAATTTTACTATGTTGTGGTAGCAAAAAAAATATCCGTTATACGATATGGAGCTTTCTGTATTTCCCATGTGTAATCGTATGAGATTTGAATGCTCTATAGTCCATAATGAGAAATCATAATATTCTTTGCTAGAATAACTTTACTCGAGTCGAAACAAACAGACGTCATCACTTAGCAGCAACTTTGGAATTACGAGTACTGCTGGACACACAACTGGAAAATTCAAGGGTATTGCATTTCTTATTATGATGTATTAGTTCAGTTTAATTTAATTTATACAGTAAACAACACATAATAAGAAAGCAAGTGGGCGGACATAGGGCGATCTGCTCCACCAAAACGCGGGCATGCTCGCAGCCTCGTGTCTGGGGCTGCTCGGTCGCGGCGGCGCAGCGAGCCGAGGCGACCGAGACAAGCGTGAGGTGACAGTGGCGAGTACCATGAGCACTTCGGAGACGGAGCTGATAGAGAGCACATACATGGTGACGCCCACCTCCACTGGCGGACCTGCAATCAAGCCCAATCGTGAGTCGCGCGCGCGCCTCGCGCCGTGAAAACCAAACCAGAGGACGGTGACGTGCCCCATCGCCTGCGGGCGAGTAGAGCGGGGGGGTCGAGAGGCGCGGGGAGCGTGCGGGTGGCGGGCGGAGGCGGTTGGAGCGCCTGGGCTGCGCGGGCGCTAGCGAGGCCTGACCTGACGCCCGCACCCGCGCGAGCCACGCGACCCTCGATGCGAGCGCAACCTTACGCCAAAACGCATCGACGCGCCTACTTATGCGATCGAACCGTGGACACGGGTGCTACGATGAACGGTTTAATGCTGGTGATCATACTAAGGGACAAAATCTTGCTATGTATGCGCTGTGTCTTTAATATTGCTTTAAAAAGGTACCATTTTCACTTCAGACAGAGAGCTGATGGAGAGCACGTACATGGTAACCCCCACTTCCACGGGTGGTCCTGAAAACGACGCAATATAACACATGACAAGAGTAACATTCAACTACTAAAGCTTTTTAAAGTTTAAGATTATGTATCTATCGTTGATCTAAATAAACTTTTAAAAGTAAATTACTATACCGGTATCTTTTACTATAATTTTATGATAAAAAGTTCAATATACTACTAAGTGCATTGGCCTGTTTTGAATCACAAGACTTGACGTGTTTGTGTTAAATCAACAGGTCATCACACTCGTAGCCTCATATCGATTGCTCTCTGCAGTGAAGACTGAAGACGCAGCTTTACGATAGCTACTTCATTATATGTCTGAGAATACAACAAGAATAGCGCTCTCAATTATTTACACAGACATCTTACTTTAATGTAAACCCGATCGATAGTTTAAAAGACGCGGATTTTTGGCAACGCCACCGGCAAGCCGAGTTTGGTTGGCGTTTCTTTAAATGAATAAGATACCTACTTAATTTAATCTATAAATTATAGAGATATTCACTTAGCAGCAACATTCTGACGATAACGAATTAAAAACGAATTTCAGCGAGAATAAAACATTTGCTGAATGTCAAAAATCAAATTTGTTTACCCTATAACTTCAAAGTCAAATATGAGCATGTTTTCATCATTTCAAATGTGTTAAGTTGGAATGAATATTTAAATTTTTCCTCGTAGCAGCTAAAAATCGCTACAATTTTCAGTGATGGGGCGTCCGCCGGGCGTTATTTCATTTTAGCCTTACATAAAATATTCACAGCTCATTTTATTTTCATTTGGGCATGAACAACAACGATTATTCTATAATGAACTTCATCATAATAACTAGCTGTTGGCATACCAGAGGTAGGCACTAAGTGCTACAAAATAACCTAGTTGTTGAATGAATAACAATTTCGGAGTTATGAAGAATCAAAATGTGACCTTTGGACCAGGGCCATGCCATTGGTGAATTCAAATGAAGCGAAATTACAGACCACTCGACACTTTTACCACGAATAAAAGGATGCAACAAATTGAACACTCATGTTACACTTATAAGCTAAAACTTTTTTCACTAGACATTGTCACACTAAAAGCTTTTTTACAAAGCTCTCTATATTTGGTAAGTGAGCTATATTATAGGCTGGTTATATGGGAAAAGAATTAGTTGGAATGATGTTGTATTGCATTGCATTCAACTTTATTGGAATCATGAATAAGCTTCATTCGCTATGTAATACATTTAATTGGGAATCAAAACCTATTTTTATTAAAGGTACGTGTCTAAGGGAACTTAATTTATATTCGCGATACGTAAAAATATAAAAAATAGAATATGAGTACTAACCTCCATAGTTGGGCCTTACTCTTTTATCGTAACTTATACTAAACGAATCCAAAATGGCCGATATATTGACGTCACCGAACATGCCACCCCCACCGGCACCCCTGAAAAGATAAAATATACAAATATTAGAATGATTGTGTAAATATTAGGGTAATATAATAAAGATAAGTAAAGTGGACAGTTTTGCATAGAAATTGTATTGCGATTTATTTATAGGGAATCAGAAATGTTCAGATAAAATAAATAATTTAATCGATTTATTCGATTGCATGTGTTTTTCCACTTAAACGTTTTTAGAATTTATTTTAAAAGACGCGCACTGAAAAATATGCATGGCAAAATGATTAGATGTCTTTAAAAGTCAAAGTATTTTTTTAAAGTAGCTTACTCGTACCTAAGTACGAAAATATTTGTACCTATTGAGCATAATACTCGTTAAAGTTATGTCATCTCTATTACTGTTTTTGTTATAGGTAACGCCCAGGTCACTTCATTTTTGTCCAGTAGCAGCACCAAATATATTTCTCAGTGTCTGCAAATTTCAATTTCTATTAAATATTACGTTCAATAAGTTAGTGCTGCTCTGTCATCCAGCTCTCAACTACGAACGAAAGCTAAAACTCTTGAACTAAACGGGAAGTTAGTTCAAATCAATTACACTACTCAACGGACAAACAAATAGAAATAGAAAGAAAAGCGAGTTAATAAAAACGATTGGTACTTGTAAATACTTGTGGCAGAATAGGTTTTTTATTTCAAAGTTAATAACTACGAGTTATCATGTACGGTGCACTGAATGACAAACATAGTTCCAATAATCACTGAACCTTAGGATGAAAACATTTAATTCGTAAATAAGTATTTTATTTTTAGTCCAAGTTTAGAACTTTGTTAGTGAAACATTAAGGCAAGCTTTCCAATTTAACACTAAAAATTGTATAAATGAATGAAGAATGACACAATACACAACAATAGAACAACTTTTACATTGAAAAAACTTCAAACTTCATCTTATCTGTTTTTTAATTAGTTTTCGTGGAAGATACCTATCTCTGCGCACTTAAAATAGATTGTTATAGTAGCTTGGTAGCTATTATTTATAATTTAATGGTAACTTCGCTCGAAATAACTTTGGTGACATCATACATGAATACCTGTCACTACGTGACCATCACACCATTTTAATTCATGTAGGTACTTTCAAAAAGATTAAACCAATATTTTATGGGCTTTCTGCATTTTAGATCAAGTTTCTTTACCTGGGTACTTCTCATTTACACTCAAATTTGATGGTCACACAATAATAGTTCATAAACGGTATAAGTTAGAACAATAACTTTGAAATCAGATGATAAATATCTATTTAGCTACATACAAAATAAATTTTATCGTAATTGAAGCAAAAATAATACGAAAAAATCACATGAAACGGTAAAAAACGGGGTCATTTTTCGCGTTCTCATCGTGTCACACCTTCGGTTGCTTTGAAACATTTGGTTACTGCATTCACAATTTTCATTCAATTTGTGTGTAGCATATACTAAAATCATCGTAATTAAATATACTTTCCACACAATAGTCAAAAAAATATCTTCTTATAATTATTTTGAATTGAGAAAGCGAAATACGTTGGTCACACGATTTTAGGTACCTAAAATTTTCAGTACGAGTAATAATACAAGATTGCCGTTAAACCGAACACCAGCAACCAATCACAGCGTTGTATTCTGTTAACGTCAGTCGCGCTTCGACCATTGGGGAGGTGAGATAGGTCGATCGTCGCTCCGCGAAAAAAATAGGTAACTTTTTGTGATTATCCATAGACATACCGTCGCTTGCTTAAGCAATATTTTCTACCTCTAAAATTTAAACAATTTAATTGAAACTTTGCCATTGAAAACTTAACATGTTAGACTTATTTGTGTAGTATTCAACTTGAACCGTTAAATTCAACTTTAAGGATAATTCATAAAAAACTAAAATTTTCGTCACCTTCATGGCATCACCTTCGTGGTGTTTTATACACGAAGGTGATTTTAGGCCACAAAAGTGATTTCTTGCTTTGGTTTATTTTAAAATATAGTGACTGGTGTTTATTATTTTACAATATTTTAATAAGTAATAAATTATACGTGGTAAGTAGAGATCAGTACATCAATAAATAAATAAAGGCCTCGTATTTTTGTTGTCTGTCTGTCTGTGTGACTGTATGTATGTCTGTATATGTGACTGTGTATCTGTTTGTAAGATAAATTTAATCTGAAGTTTGAGTTAAAAGTTGTACAACAAAAATACGAGGCTCTCTGGCCTAAATAATAATATGTTTTTGTTGAGGGACTGACAATCAGTTAGAGTTCTTTTTTATTGAGGTACTGATAATCCGTTTATTGCTTCTTTAGCATTTCAGAATGCCACCAGTTTCACCCTTAAAACCAATTGCGTAGAATCTTGTAACTTAGTAGGTGACGTAATCGGTAAAATTTTATCTTGTATTTAAGTAGGTACCTATTTATATTATGTTATTGCTATTTATCTATGAAAATAAGACAAAATATATGTTTTATAAACACTTAAGAGTCATTTACAGTAGTAAAGTTTGAAAAAATTATTGCTGTGAAGTACAGAATCACTTTCGTGGCATCAAAAAATTCAAAACGTTAAAGCTTCCAAACGAGACTCACTATTTGACTGATTTACTGAGAATACAATCTTCACATCAAGCGCTACAATTTTTGTTTACAAAAAGTTGAAATAAGTTAGAAATAAAATTCGCCACGAAGGTGACGATGAGAACCGTGGCGATGAGAAATACCCACCTACTTATTTGACACATTTCACCTTTACAGTTGCCGTTACATTTTGATTAGATAAAGTTGCATCGACAGTGGTTCGCGTGCACAATTTGGAGACTTGGTGAAGCGATCACAATCTCAAATCGAAATGGAAAACGTTGTCTACAGGCACAGACTAGTTTCAAGATACAAACACATAGCCGGTATGTGCAGGTGAATTTTGCTGCCGACTCTACGGTGCCGTCACTACGGCGGCATGGAGTTAAACTGAAATCTAGTCCAATTGAACGTTTAATTTCACTGAAAATTCCGTCCACGTTGCAACAGATTCTACGAATTCGTCATAACAAAGATATTACCTAGCTAATTTCATACCAACTATTTCGTGGAAACTGTAAGTATTTGTGAGGAATTTAAATAAGAAACTGAAAAAGACGGGACTAGAGTTTTCTGTTTCACGGAATATCGTGCATTATTAGTTGCGTTTATTCAGAAATAATAAAGGAAACTGAATTGTTAAACATCATGCTTTTAACTTCAGTTACAGCTCAGAAATAAATGCTTAACATTGTTAAACGTTATTATTGTGAGAACTGTCTCACAATATGCTTGTTTTGCTTTACTTAGTGCTTGAGAGGTAAAATTAAAGATGTTTGGCTATAAAGCAGAAGAGCTTAAGATGCTAGAGATATGAGAAAGTAGAAAAAGTTCGAGAAACTTCAACAGTATTCCTTTCCTCCGAGATCACCATGGCAATTTCTCTCAGTGCACCGTTTTTGGCAACGGGCCAGGCGAACCGTTGGGAGCTTTATCGACGTCGGGGAAGTATCCAAGGATTGTGCGAACATAAAACGAAACGAACGCAGTGCGCGCCGCGCACTGTCGATACTGTAACACATTGCGCCCGATTAATTTATCATGAGAAAAGAAGGATAGAAGAGATACCAGTATTTATAGCTGCAAATAAGTTCATTTATTACAGAACATCACAACCTCATCTAAATAACAACAGCTGCAGGTATCAGAATAGCAGGGGAAGCAACAATAATAATGCAAACTACCGAAGCAAACGGGTTATACGTTTGATAAAAAATAAAAGGTTGCATGAAATATGGTTAGTTATTTCCATGCCTGCACGTTGACGGAGCTGCGGTGAGTGTAATTTTATTGTTTCGTTGTTTAATAGGCTGTTGTGCAACCGCGTTTTGAAACGCTAACTCATTCGAGTGCTCTTCACAAGCGCGTGCAAACGCTCGTCGTAGGTATTTTATTTACTTCTTTTCCGTTAAAATAATGTTATGCCCGTTTTCGCCATTAATCCCTAGTTTTTAAGTGATCTCTATGGTAACACATAACAGGAATTTTGTTTTCATAGGGGTCATTTGAAAATTAGGAATTGATGGTGAAAACGGGAATTAGTCCAATAAAGCCTTTACAATTGTATTCCTAGAGAAATCTATTATTTCTTAATTGTGCTGCTTAATAGCATGATTAAGAAGACATATTCTTAATTAATTGATTAACTGCTTTATTTGTAAAATTATCATTTAAGATTTTTACCCAAATGTAAAATATAATAAAAAGTTACTGTCCATTCACGAAAGACTAGCGTTGCATCGACGCTTTATGTCACGCCCTTAACCTAAGCTTAAGCTCAGATTACAGTCGCTGTAAACCAGCTGATACTGTACCGCAAATCGGCGACTAATCAACGGTTCGCTGCAAAGCAAACTGTTCTAACATTTGTTTGAGCGTATCGTAATCCACTGGTCCGCAATATTGGTCCTAATAATCCCCGCACACACGCCGACACATTTAGTCATCGACTGATTTGTAAGGATATTACGCGCACAAATTTATGTCGCCTATTCCCGGCACACTGCCGAGTGGCAGATTTTGAGCCTAAGTTAATTTTAGCCTAACATTTACAGTTGACACTTTTCGTGACTTTGATTTGATCTTGAATTTATCTTATTCACAGCTTTCTATTCTGACATTAAAACACTGAAATCACGTTCTTCAAAATATCAAAGTAAAGAATCGTCTGAAAATAGCTTCTTTTTCTTTGTCGTCCTTGGTATACGGACAAGGTTAATAAAAATCTGAAAATGTTTACGATATTACGAAGAAGTGGTACTATCTACGTACGAGTACTATCCCAATTTGTTCATTAGTTTATATTACGGCGTTTTGTCGCGCTGCCGCGGTATGCCGCAATCACGATACTGCGGTACTATAATGAAGTAATTAACGTCGCCTGGTGCTTTTTAAATTGTGAAAGTGTACATTGAAAAAATGTCCTTACATAT